TCAACATCATAAGACCTACATGTACATGTATACAGTGTAGATCTACATAGCCTTCAAGGTTCAGAAAAACAGGACAACTTTTCTGGATAAATTTGCCACACCTGTATTTCTTCTCATTCACATTGTTGTACATGAATGGTACAACTGTCAAGTTAGCCCTAATGCCCTATTTATGTTCGATTGCATGTGCGTTATTTTTATCCACTGTGACTGCACTGAAGCATGATGTTGACAATCACCACCCCCTCCACATATTTATTTATCAGGTGACTGGTCACATGACTTTGAGCTCTAACGCACATCATGTATACACAACTACTTTGTATTGTGTGTGCAGGAAGCTTTTCCGGTGCATGACAACACACGCACATGTTCATGAACTCTGTACCGTATTCGGTGCTGGTTCTTCTTAATACATAAGGCACTAAATATAGCTTGAAAGTTACATCATGGAGTACAGTACCTGTCTAGACAATATACATGTACCATTAAAATTCAACTCATCTTGTATAATCTGTATATGCTTCTACATACAGGTAAATCCTTTATAAATGCTACAATAGTTACAATTTCAAAAGAAACAGTGTACACTACATACACAATGGATGGATTAAAATCCCTAAAATTCATTTTAGATACTACTGGGTACCGAAAATACATCATGAAAACTGAGTCCAAAATCTCGTAGGGAGGAAAAGTCTGTGTAATTCATCCTATCGTGAAGGTATTAATACCTACAGGTGATCCAGCGTTTGTTGTACAAACCAAAGTAAGAATACACTTACACTGTACATGTGAAATATAAATTATTCGTGATGACAATTTGACATAAATTTTTCCCTGGAGTCCTCTGGCTGTAAATACTGATGATTTTCAAATATTCCAGGAACGTATAATCGCACATTCAAACATGCTATGTTTAACACATTGCCATAAATACAGATACACTGTACATGTATCTTTAGGCCATGGTTTACCTAATTGAATTGTGGAATATTCACCAAATGTTATGCAACTATTCTTCCGGTCACAGGACAGTGATGACATCATAATGGAGTGTATTATGACATCATTAATAATTTCACAAGGCCAAACATTACAAATACATATATTTAGTAATTAATGGCACTTGCATGCAACTTGCTGCATAGATGATGGAATCCCATAACATAGTTTGCAATGTGCAGAATCCTAACTGGATCTGCTGACGAGGTTAAAAATAAGCACATTGCAAAATTGGTAAAGTGTTTTATAAAAAGAAACAGTTAAAAATAAAAAATAGTATTACTATCATCCTTATTAGTAGTAGTAGTAATATTAGTTGCATTATTCATCAATGTAGTAAGGCCTACCTTGTCTGAGAGAGATGGTGTGTACAGGACAGTCGGTGGAACATGCATCAATTGCGGCATGACTGACACCATGTTATGATATTCCAAAGGATAAAAGTCTTTGACTAATTACAATGTGTAGGTCAGATGATCTAAAGTGGCTCATGTAAAATAGTTAATAGTCCCCTATTAAGCATACATTGTAGAAAATGTACAGTCTTGAAACCGTCAAATAGAAATCGAATAAACACACAATGTGTAGCCGAGCTGAAAATATGACTTAGCAATTTCTCACAAACTTGTGCAGAACTGTGATTGTCCTTTGTTGATCTAACAGTAATGCTTGTGCAAATGAAAATTGATGGCATTTGTAGTTTGTATTTATCATCAAACCACGCAACTTTCCCTGAGAGAATTCTATTGTGGTAAACAAATCCCACCCCAGTACTTGTGATGACATCACAATGCTATCAAATTGCTATCACAATGGCCTAAACTACGATGTCACAAAACCACAATGTAAAGGAACAAACAAACATTCCATTATACTATTTAGCTTATAATATGACAATATGAACAAATATTATAATATGAACAAAATCTATCCCAATGAATACAAAAAATGTGGGCTTAGTGGACTTTGGACTCAGTTGTGACGCTCCATCGTAAGCACTACAATGGGCCTTGTAATTGATGGCGTAGGTACTTTGTACGCACACAAGCTTGTGACGTCAGTTGGAGCCTGGACACAGCTAATATTTGGGTGTCTAGATTCTATTGCCATGGCAAAGCTCCAATGAAGGACAAAAGACATAAACGTTGTAGTTTTTGTCCAATGTTTGTTGTGGATACTGGGGAATATTTAGAACTGATGATAAAGGAAGCTATTAGAGTTCCTTCTGGCAACTTCCGGCGGCGACAAGATAAGAAAGAAAGAAACATTTGTGTACAACTATTTTGGGTTTTTCTAGATCTCTCTCTAAAAATGAACAAAGTTTTAGAGCAAGTACATTTATGAACAGTACAGATACCGGTAGTTTGTATGCCTGCATGTATCGGTACATTGTCAGGTACATATGTACATGTAGCACTACAGTCAAACCTGGTTTAGCGACCACCTGTCTACAAAGACCACATGTTTTGTTTCCCTTGAAAATGGTTACTCATTGAAACATGTACAGTACATGTACAGTACATGTATGTGATTGACTTGTTGAAAGAATGCTATTACTTGAGCCTAATACATGTACTGTAGCTATCTCTTTGATCTACCACAATCATAGTTACAAATACACATGTTTCTGACTTCATTTTTTCAAGTTTTCTGTCTGCAAAACTATTGACAAACTCTGAAGATATAGTCCTAACATACATGTACAGTAGATTTAAATTGAGCCGATATTGTAAGCCACAGAGGTACATGTACATGTACAGATAACTTCTCTTTTGTAATCAATGGGAATGTATATGTTTTTTTTCCTTAGCTTTTTCTATCGTTTTTAGTTTTTTACCCAAAATCTGATGACATTTGTTGAGCTTAATTAATATTTCTCTCACCTCTGAATTTCTCATGTATTTTCCCCACTATACATGTACATACAGTGTATTACATTATAATAGGGGTGGGTCTGTAATGTTTATACAGTTGTGTACCATAAATTTTGTTTCACCATTTAATTTTTTTTATTTTTTTTTTTATTGATCCAGCTAACATTTTTTTTAAAAAGAAGAGTTTTTTAACAGGTCGGTCCAAACTACATGTAATAGGTCCTATTATGAGACGTTGTATGAGATTACATGTCACCAACTTAACGTACAATACATGTACATATACATGTAGTCTACTTTAATTTCAAAGGAAAATCCATCCGTAAAGTTACTAGTAAACTATTTGAAAAGAAAGCAGAAAGATCAGGGAAGCAGCCTGGTGAAAATTTGAACGAAATCGGACGAAGAATGAGAAAGTTCAAAAGTTTTGAAAATTGTAATCAGTAATGTACATGTACATGCAGGCACTTCGAATTGGCTGTGAGGAAGTGCCAGATAATTCTAAAATTATGTCATTTTTCTCAAAATGTACGACTCATGAGGGTTTTTTCTTTTTAGAGAATCTATAATAACATGCTACCCACAATATATTGTTATTTGTGTCTGTCCCAGGGGAGAAGGTGCTTAGAAAAACTAGGAATTTATGATATTTGTGTACATTGTTCATGACAAACAGGAGAGTTGCATAGCATATTAATGTGTAGGTCACAATCCAGTGACCAAATTACCAATTAGTACTTTGCATACCTGTAGCTTTTAATAGTGATCTCATCGAACACTTGCAGCTTTCTTCCTGTTGGGTCTGATCTATTCCAACTTTCGCCATTCCGTTTCTCTTATTTTTCTGCTTTTGTACAAATTAAATTATTACAAGGGTAGCATTTCCTGTTAATATTAAACGAGATACATGTACAAACTGTACATAATAGGCTGGGATGCATGATCGATTTTTGTGATCAATTTCAACCTAACATGGACTCTCTGGTGCCAGGTGTAAACCATATACGGTTACAGTATTTATTCAATGAATTGACATTAGTAGTTACACATCACTAAATTATGTAGCCCATCTGAATTTTTTTTTTTGCGGGGGTGGGGCTAATCACATATTCCTAAAATGACACTTGATCGAACAAGTGAATGTACTATGTGGGGAAATATATTTTCAAAATTATTTATTAAGGGATACCGGTAGTTGAATTCTGGTTCTTATTCTTATCTATGACATTTTAGGCCATTAAAAAAAATATACATGTTTAGCGTCCCCGGGGCCGCCTCCTATTTTTTTTTTTTTTTGAAATATTTTAATTTTTTTTTTTTTAATTTTTTTTTTTTTTAAGAAAAAAAACATGAAAAACACTGCTAAAATTGATCTATTTCTGATTTAAAAAAAAAAAAAAAAAATGTCGGCGGCCATCTTGAAAAATAGCCCCTACTGTCAGGGAAAATGTACCGAGCGGCCATTTTGGGCGGCCATTTTGGGCGGCCATTTTGAAAGAAAAAATAAAAAATAAAAAGGGCCTCCTCCTTCCTTTTTTTCAAAAAAACAGGACGCTAAACATGTTTTTTTTTTTATTTGGCCTTATAGTGCCCTTTTAGAACCTAAAATTGCTATGAAGGTAATTTTAGACCCCAAATGTGTGAAACTTAGCCGATACGATCATACCAATTCAGCTCCACTTTCAAAAAAACATGGTGACCGTTAATTAATTATTTAATTACAAATAACAATACATGAGCTGGCTAATTGTGGGTAATATTTATATTAAAGCAACATGGAAATGCCAACAAAAAAGCCAACATCGGCATTGCCATTGGCAGAAATAGAAATAGAATGATGCAACCCCTGTTCGAGGTTTTCAAAGGGAAACGCTGAGTGAAGTATGGATTAGCATTGCTAAGACCCTAATAAAGATAATGCAGAAAGAAAACCAAGCATTTTAATGACAAACTGAGCGTCTGGCAAAGAAAAAAAGACACAGGAAAAAAGGTAAAAGTTGTGACTCATAATCAAGACCCTACCTTTCTTTGAATGGCCGTGGCTTTACCCTTGTCCTAACCAAGTTCAGGACCTTGCTTGGTGACTATTTTAAGGTTTTTAAATTAATTTAGCAAACATACCTTTGCTTTTTCACAGACGTCCTTGGAGTCGCCAAAAACTTGTACCCACACAGGAGCCGGAGTTGACGAGTCAGCACAAACATCCGTGTCGCCACCGGAGTCCGACGGCAGGATACACCCGGAATCTCCGCACCGACTCCCAGTCCCATCGGGTTCTCCGCAACAGACACGCACGCCGAACAAATCTTGGATATGCAAGAGCCTCTTTGCAACATCGTCGCGCTTCTCGGCAGAAACGACAAATTCGGAGCTCATCTTACCATGTTTCTGCTGATAAACAGCAGATAATTGTCCTTAATTCATCAAAGACAAAAGGAAACTGCCTACATGTTGCTAAACGTGCAAACGTACAGATACATGTCCTAATGCATCATCAATGCAAGTACAGTGCATGCATGCAGTACATACAGTGCTATGAATATTGTACTTAGATTTTGTATATCGAAACTGATCAACAGAGGGCGGCAATCAATCAAACAGAATAAACAGCAGAAAATAATGTTGTTTCCAGCGCCAGCCTAACTTTGCCATTTATATCGATCTCTGTATTTGGTGCATTCCGATGCAGCGTATCTGATCTGGGGAGGGGGCAGAAGCTAATGCACAGTAGAGAAAGAGAAGAGAACGAAGAAAATAGTGGTCCTTAATGATTAAATACTTCTCGAGGCTTGGCTTTAGAATACCCCACCAATAGGGTTTATGTACATGAGCATCCACCATAGGGTTAGAGTTAGAGTTAGATTTAGGGTTCAGAATTACGGTTAGGATTAGGGTTATTTTCCTAAATTCTAAATGCGAATAATTTCTTAATGCATCTTTACAAATAACTCGTTATTTCAAGAGCTCTTAATTTCGGTTTAAAATTTGTGAAATTTCTAACCCTCCTTATTCCCAAATTTAACACATACAAAATTTCCAACCGGTCTTGTTATATTTGCCCCCGCCCCCTCCCCTTTACAGAGAAGCGAATATACTTTTAAATTGGACTTTTAAAGATTTTGTTACGTCATTTTAGTCTATACAACAACAAAAAGCGTCAATTACTACTTTTTTATTTACACTCATCGTTCATTTAAAGATTGTTTATCCAAAATAGAAAGGGTTACGATTTCAGGTTGACTAATGCTATGGTCACATTACCCAAAAGTAGCCTGCTCGGCGGCCGAGCGGCGAGTTTTTAACCAATTCTGCACGGCGGCGGCCGCCCGGGCACCGCTCGTTTTTAGGGCATCGCTCGGTCGCCGCTGAAGTTTTAGCGCGGAGTTAAAATTTGGGCGGCGCCTGCTCACTTTTCACTCGCCGCCCAAAATACGCTCGGTGCCTGGGCTATGTGACCATAGCTTAAGTTGATTTTTTTTTGTTTTGTTTTGTCTTCTTCTATTTAACTTCTTCTTCTTCTTCTTTTTATTCTTCCTCTTCTTCTCCTTCTTCTTCTTCTTCTTCTTCTTCTTCTTCTTCTTCTTCTTCTTCTTCTTCATCTTCTTCATCATCATCTTCTTCTTCTTCTTCTTCTTCTTCTTCTTCTTCTTCTTCTTCTCTTCTTTTTCTTCTTCTTCTTCTATTGCTTCCTTCTTCTCCGCATCGATGTGGATTGATTACAAGAGAACAAGGCAGTCAAATGAGGAGGGGTTGCGGAAGGAAAAAATTACATCATATTCTTTTCTGGATGACGTCCCCAACTCCCTTTCATTCTCTCTTATTTTCCCCTTTTCTCTCTCTCTCTCTCTTTTTCACTACCATGACTATTCGAATGGGGGGGGGGGGGGGGGGGGGTGGTGGGGACATGCACTCTGTTCCACCGTAGCTACTGCTCACCAATAGTCTCCATGCACCAGATATCGCAGTTATTAGATCTTGAGTACGGTCAAAGCGTCTAATACGGCCATCCAAAAAAGAGATATTGTGGCCATTGAGGGGGGGGGGGGGGGGGGGGGGGGTAAGAGGGCACTTTTTTTGGGGGGGGGGGGGTCTCGTAATTTGAAAATTTGACATTTTGCTCCGTTGGGGGGGGGGGGGGGGTAAGGTCAGCTTTTTTAGGTCAGCCATGGGAATATATATATTTTTTTTTATAAATAAAAAAAAATCCCCCAAAAAATCCAAAGGGGGGGGGGTTTTAGGGGAGTTATGGGGGGGGGGAGGGTTTACACACAGAAAAATACCAAAGGGGGGGGGGTTAACCCCCAAACCCCCCCCCCCCTTGTGTACGCGCCTGGGGGGGGGGGGCAATATAGGTGATCACTTCAGAGAGGTGGCTTCGATGATATTCTGAAAACTGTTGATTAGTAAAACCTATAAAAATGAGGGTTGGGCGTGGTTCGCTCATAATTTTATACACAGCTATACTTTCTAGGTCTTTATTTTCTCCTTCGCCTATTTCATCCACCAGAATAGACATTCACGTTTGAAATCAAATTCACTCGTATAGTGATTGGCAAATGATATTGAAACGTCTTTATTTACACGATATGGAAACAAAACTGGAAATAATATTTACAGAATACATTCCAGTCAATAAATATATATTATATACATCTTGCATGCTCCGGCGTTCAGTATAATAACAAAATATTCGAACCGACAAAAGTTCAGAATATCCTGAGTAATATTATATTGCACCCAGGCCAGATGCCAAGGTTGATGGCACGAGAAACATTATGAATTTGTAGGAGAATAATTGTAATCATGTTATACTGAACAACGCAATGCATGCAATATTAAATTGTTATACAAAATTAAAGTGACTTGGTAACATTGTTGAAGGTTGATGAAAAAAATTGCTTAATTTTTGTATAAAATGTTACTTACTATATTCCTTTTACTGTATAGTAACCCTCTGACATGCAAAAAAATCCTGAAAAATTCTCAAACCACGAATATATCTATGGTTTTCTTTGAAGAAGTCGATCTATGACACCCTGTAACAGTGATTAACAGTAAATTCTCCCAACCATTTTTGAATTTTCCCAACCGTTTTTCCATGAAAAAAAAAGACATAAAACAGGCTATAAAAAATCTGTCAACACCTAAATGTCAGGAATGGAATGTAGAGCCATTTTATTGCTTTGTGACGATTTCTATTCACCTAAAATGTAATTAAATTGTAATAATATAGTTGGGAGAATTAAGGAATCGATCAGATCAGTTTTTCCCAATTTGTCCCATGAATAATGGTCCGTTTTCACTCAAATTTTCAGATTATCTTTAATTGTACATCTAGCATTGAAGTCACTACCTAAGCACCCATGGGTGTCGATCCCCGGGGGGGGGGGGGGGGTGGCCTGTACAATCCCCCCCCCCCCAATAATTCACCATCGCAAAAAAAAAATGAAGAGAAAAATTAATGATGAGAGCCCGATGAGAGGAGTTAATGGTTATTACTCGCAAGATGACCATCCATATACACATTTTGCTATCTCATTTTCTTAATACATATAAATAGAAAACGAAGTAAATGAGACAACCGTATATGAGACAATATGAGACTCGCTCGTACGGTTTCATCAGGAATTGATGGATTTATTCAACTTATTCAATCAACAGCATCATAGAAATGCAGTGCGCCAAATGCAAAGCCGCAGCGTTAAGAAACAACGAGCTAAATGTTAAGCGCGAAGCGTAAAAGTGCAAAAAAAAAGTAGAGAGTGGGAGAGAGGAATAAAGAGAGACAGAGAGGATACAGGCGCGAGCCAGGGGGCGGGTCGCCGCCCGCCCCCCCCCCCCCCCAAAAAAAAAAACGCAGCCAAAAAAGAGAGAGAGAGAGAGAGAGAAAGAAGAAAGGAAGAGGACGTAGGAAGAAAAAGGATCAAGAGTCGAGAACGGTACAACGAATCGTCTTGTTTCTCTAATAATGTAATGAAACGTCAAAGCTTCCGCGCTTCGCGCGGGAAGGGGGGAGGGGGGAACTGAAGTCAGACAAGGATTAAGAGTCGAGAATGGTAATGGTACAACGAATCGTCTTCTTTCTTTCTTTAATGATTTAATGAAACGTCAAAAGAAACTGAATGTAGACAAAGATTAAGAGTCGAGAACTGTACAACGAATCGTCTTCTTTCTCTAATAATTGAATGTAACATCAAAGCTTCCGCGCTTCGCGCAGTAGGGGGGGGGCTGAATTCAGACAAGGATTTAGAGTCGAGAACGGTACAACGAATCGTCTTCTTTATTTAATAATTTAATGAAACTTCAGAGCTTCCGCGCTACGCGCGGAGATAGGGGAACTTGATTCAAACAAGGATTAAGAGTCGGGAACGGTACAAGGAATCGTCTTTTTTCTCTAATAATTTAATTAAACATCAAAGCTTCAGCGCTTCGCGCGGGAGGGGGGGGGGGGACTGAATTCAGACAAGGATTAAAGGTAAAGACCAGTTATGGTCATGCGATTGCATTGTGAAAGAAACGTTATCACGTGAAAGAAACGTTTAATTAAACATCAAAGCTTCAGCGCTTCGCGCGGGAGGGGGGGGGGGGGGGACTGAATTCAGACAAGGATTAAAGGTAAAGACCAGTTATGGTCATGCGATTGCATTGTGAAAGAAACGTTATGGAATCGATCAGAAAAGGTTGATCATCTAGCATCTCGCATCTGCAAGGTTCTGGAATCATCAAAATGATAAGAAATTTGGCCCATTCTTCGTAAAGATACAAGCACTATACACAGAAAGATGTATATGGGACTACCCTATATCTCTCACAGACCATGAGAGAAACAAATTTACCAAATATATGAATTAGTAGGCGGTTTACTGGCAAATTTGTTATCATCATGTATTAGTCAAAACATATTCTTTCACATGATTGGTAATGAGAGCTTCCATTTCATTTTTTGGAATTTAGGCGTTTCCAATACTGGTCTTTACCCTTAAGAGTCGAGAACGGTACAATGAATTGTCTTCTTTCTTTAATAATTTAATGAAACGTCAGAGCTTCCGCGCTACGCGCGGAGGAAGGGGAACTTGATTCAAACAAGGATTAAAAGTCGGGAACGGTACAAGGAATCGTCTTTTTTCTTTAATAATTTAATGAAACGTCAAAGATTCCGCGCTTCGCGCGGGAGGGGAAAACTCCCCCTCCCTGCATCCACCCACCTAGGGAGCGCGCTTCGTGTGCTCACTACCGCCCCCTAAAATAAAATCCTGGCTACGCGCTTGAGAGGATAATTACCCAGGTAGCAAGCCCATGTGGGACCCACATGGGTCCCATAATCTCTGAAATGTTACCTTTATTGAGGGTGACTTGAAAAAGTTAATAACTTGGAAAGGAGGGGTGCAGCCTGCCACACACTTGTATCCTTGGTTGCTTTGATCCATTGCCGAAAAGATTTTGGCACCTATCATCCCCCCCCCCCAACCACGGATACAAATCGACACCCTTGTAAGCACCACTTTCTCTCATCTGAACAATGTTACCAAGTCCTTTAAGGGTATTTGCGATCTCATGACTTGCTCATTTGGAGTCAGGCCCTCTCAATTGCATTTTGGTTGCCTTCGATCGTTGCGCCCATTAATAATGTTGATTGTCACATGACACTGTTTCAGCCAATAGGATACTCGCTAACAAATACCCTATTTTATATGATATTACACCAATATTTTGTAAAAAAACAATATGATAGCGTACAATTTAATGTCAACAAATGTAATGATAAAACAAAAATCGTAATCCGTTATGTCCGTGTTGCCTAAATTGTTGCGCCCATTGATTAAGTACACATAAAATTCTACACGCAAATAATATTTTTTATAATCATTATAATTCTATTCATTCAAATAATTTGGCACACAATAATGTACATAAGTTTGAAAAAAATAACCATTTTACAAAATAATAGCGATTCGAAGAGTTATGTATGATATAAGTTTCCGATATGTTACCGGTATAAGTTTAACGATTTAGCTGTATTTAAAGTCTTATTATGCGCTGTGGAATTGTTTTTTTTAAGATGTTGTATAAGGATGCTCAAAAGGATCAAGGTAAAATGGCTTTGGCTCCAAATAAGGGCGTCAGTCTTTCTGGTAAAAATTTGGATCCAATGAACAGAATGAACCGCCATCTCCTGCGGCCCCAGATGTAGATGAATGGTACTACCTGAATGAACCTTGGATACAAAACCTCTAAACGGCTTCATAATAAGGCCTCTTCAGGAGCTGAAAGTCGTTGTCGTCCCGAACGAACGGAGCACTTTTTTCTTCAATATTTGATTATTCATTTTGGCACCAAGCATTCGTTCATCGGTACCTTGAACTCAGCTGATCGCCGAAGGGAACTTTCGACATTCACGAGATGAAGCGATTAAAGAAACCTCTTCATAACTAAATATGGAGGGATGTTGGTGTCATGGCAACGAGTTTTGGCAACAAATCTCCCTCTGTAATAGACTTCAATGGATGGCGTTGTCACGATAACGAGTTTCATTTAGGTCACGAAAACTCTCTCTTTACTAGACTTCATTCGATGTGGTTGTCACGATAACGAGTTTTAGGCCACGAAACATGGGTTACGGGTAGTAATATTTTGGCAATGACATGCCTCATTGACAGAACTCAAAGGGATGAAAGTTTCATGGCCACTAGTAATTATTGTAGACAACATCGTGCGATGGATGTGAATGTCATAGCAACGAGTTTGATCTAAGCAGCTGAACACACCCTCTTAACTAGTCATTAGTGGAAAAGAGTTCATGCCAACGAAACGCCCATTTTTACTCGAAATAAAATTATGTGGGGTCATGGCAACGAGATTTAGGCAGCGACACTCCCTCTTTACTAGACATCAAGAACGAGTATTGGTAATGGGTTTTAGGCCACAACAGTTACAGCACGCCTTCTTATAGACATCAATGGATGTGGGTGTCATGGCAACGGGATTATGTCAACGACACACCCTCTTTAGTGGACATCAAGGGATGCGGGTGCCATGGCAACCAAACAGTTTTAGATAGCGACACACCCTCCTTCGTTATATCAAGGTATGTGGGTGTCATGGAAACGAGTCTTAGTCAACGATACTGGTCATCAAGAGATGCTGTTGTCATGGCAACAAATTTAAGGTAAGGACACGCGTCTTGTTCAATCAAGCTCACATTGTGATGAAGACTTCGGGTACAGGAAGGCGGCTTGTTGTTTCTAAAGTCGCCATGGTAGAGACAAAATGAGATTCTGTAAAATAAAAAATAAAAAAGAAGAAGAGAAGTTATTCTTATTTCTCCCCCCTTTTTTTTATCGGGTTCTTCTTAGTCTTCTTCTTCTTCTTCTTCTCCCCCTCCTCCTTCTCCTCCCCCTCTTCCTCCACCTCCTCCTCCTCCGTTTTCACATTGTTAACATACCAATTGGATACCATCTCAATTTCGGTCTCCATCCACCTCTTATAAAATAATGGTTTATTGATACAAATCAAGCATCATTGCGGCAAAGCATAATTGTGATGATTTTCCAAAATAATCAGCAACCAATTTAATCAACAGTGATAGAGTTCATAATAAAGGAAATCGACATCGGCAAGTAATTATTATCTCAGTTATTATACCTTAGCCACACCGTCAGACCAATTCTTAGTAAGCCGGTAAATATTATTATGCGCCAAGATACAACGGGACTTGTACATTAGGACTATAGGGCACCCCATCTCCCTTACGCGGAGCGATTTTGTGAAAGAGACTAATTTGAAGTTAACCCATTTATTGTATTGCAAACACTCAAGTGGAAACCTAAAAATATTAGAAGACAGCAAATATAAATACTGCAAAATAACGCAAGTCGTGCAATGCCTATTCATTATTATTATGATTTATTAAAACATCCTTGCATCATTGTCGATCTATGTTGTTCATTTCCTTATAAGGAAATTCCGTGTTGTCTGGAAACGACCGTATGGGTTTCGATATTATTTCAAGTAAATAAACATGGATGGAACGAAACAGGATATAAAAATGACACAAGAGGCGTAAGTACGAGGGGCATGTCCGGGGGCAGGATTGGTGGAAAGACCGAAAGAGGGAATGGCAGGAAAAGATGTCTGGGTTGGACCCCCCCCTCCTAATAGAAGGTATTTTGTCCATTCTCATTTGAATTGACTTAATAACAAATAAACGCCAAACCCGTTTACTTGCTAGACTTCACTGTCAGACACTATTGAGTGACTGAATGCCTTTTCTCCTCTTTGGTAATAACATACATGAAAAGAGTTGTAAAGGGTACATGAGCATTTGTCTACATCAATAACCCACTTCTTGTGATGGCCAAGATTAAACTGATTGAATCTTCCTGTTTACTTGCTAGACTTCACTGACAGACACTATCGAGTGACTGACTGGCTTTTTTCCTCTTTGGTAATAACATACATGAGAAGAGTTGTAAAGGGTATACATGAGCATTTGTCTACATCAATAACCCACTTCTTGTAATGGCCAAGATTAAACTGATTGAATCTTTGCGCAGCATAAAACGTATGACCATTCGGTACAATTGTCTGAAAATCGAGACTATTACTTTTGGGCTCTATAGCCCTAAAGTCGATTTGACAACTAATAGTCGTTATTTTCCCACTTGAAGACATTTTCAAGCCCCACCTTTTTAGGGAAGTTCTAAATTAGTATTATCTTTCAAATGCAGTTGGAATTTAACTTTTTCATTTTTTTGGCCTGCAAATGGGACATAGTACCTTTAAGGTACCGCAAATAGGGTTTACAACGGGGGTCAGGAGTCGGTTGTGCCCGCTTAAATTCACCATGGCTTCTCCACAAAACAAACCTTGCAATTGAGGTGACCGTCTCTTCGTTCTCGACCCGTCCGAATCGGACGAACTCGGTTTGGGATCGACTTGGTTGTTTTTGCATCGGGACAGACGAAAGATTTTTCTCAGTTTAGTCGGGACCGAGAATCGTGGCAGCACAAACATGACGGGGTCGAGAGAGTGATTAGCTAGTAGCAGTTTGTGTGACATGAGGTCGCTCCACAGCGTCGTCCTAATGCCGATTCGCGTGTAAGAGATGAATAGCTGAAAAGGAAAGAATATAATATTACAAGCGGGGCGGGCGAGAGAAACATTCCTACTTGCAAAACGCTGTGGTGCATGTAGCGTGGGTCAACTCATAGAAAAAAAAAAGGGGGGGGGGGTGGTCTTGTAATTGAACGACTAATATGTGTATCTATTCCCCCGCTGTTTGATTGGGAGGGGTAGTCCCCTATGCCCTTCGGTAGCTATGCCCCTGAGTCGGATAATGCAGGTGGGGGGGGGGGGGGGGGGGGGGGGTCATCAACTGCTTCCTCATGCACTTGCAATAGAAAGGAGAGAGAGAGAGAGGGCTATACATTGAAACAAAAAGATAGAGAGGGGGGAGAGAGAGAGAGAGAGAGAGAGAAGGTGAGAGAGAGAGAGAGAGAGAGAGAGAGAGAGAGAGAGAGAGAGAGAGAGAGAGAGATTACTTAAAATTAATAAGATCAGTACCCCTCCCCTTAATGGCCTGATGCCCTCTCAATGGCCGGACCGACGTTACGCCACTCGTATATAGAATATTTAAACATACATAATGTATTGATCAACCCCAAACTATGACATCGGTAGATTATCGCTTCAATCAGGATAATGGTCTAAAAGTCGTGTTGGCTATCTTGACCAGGATTTAGGTCAGGTAATCTATAGCTACCAGCCAAAATCTCGGCCAAACAAGTCAGTTAACAATCAGACCAACATCCTGGTTGGACATTGTCATAACACACTCAAAACGTCAGTTTGAACTGAAAAAGTGACAATGCATCTAGGATGCTTAAAAATATGTTTGAAAATCGAAAACACCTTCCAAATATCAACCTAGTTTACTAAGCGAGGCCATTACAACAGCCTTACACTTGCATCATAATTATTGCCTCGTGCGTCACCAGCATTAATGTGCAATATGAAAATGACGTATTCCGCAATCTGAACATGATTTCTCTAAGCAATCTAATAATCATGATATCGAAATCGCCATTATGCCCGGCGCACACTGCACAGTCCTCCTGCGATTCGATTTTCATAGAAATGGTAATTATATATTTGATATGGGAGTTTAAACAAACATCCTCTTCCTGATTCAGATTCTAAATAATGATGAGAATGCCAGTGGCTGGAAGCTTAGTACATTTTAGCCTTCTCGTCTGAATTAATGCCGAATCGGCTTCCAATCTTAGATAATCACATTACTTATTACTACTGTCCTGACGTTACTAGGATTTTGAGCCGATTTACCTCCTCCAAGGAAACTTGAAAATCCCTTGAAATTTAGATTTTCATTATTCATGTGACTATGCGGATCCTCGGTCATTAAGATTGTACAAGTATGAATGTTCACATCAAATGCTTTTGCCAAGTCTTTTCAAATCGGCTCGTAGTAAAATCATGAAGTGTGTCGGCTTCTTCAAAGTATTTGTGGTCGTGTTCTCCATGGGTATATAGCCTATTGTCATTGACTTATGACCTCATTTATTTCGCCAGGCGGCTGGCATTTCATATACAATATCCGTCTTCCAGTTTCTAACATTTGACACTTTTAGGTAGTTAAGATAGCTTTGTCACAGAACCATAAGAAAAAAACAATAACAGACTACTTCTCTTGCCCTATGATGTATCGACTGCCCGATTATTAACAATTTAAAAATTATCCTGGGAAGGCAACCCCCCCCCCCCCCCCCCCCCCCACAGTGTGACTTGAACGTTAGTGTTCTTCAAATGGAACGAATTCTGAGAACAACATTTTGAGTTGGTAAAACAATACAGATTTTCATTTTTTCTTCAAATAAACATTTATTTTCTCAATTTGTCGCATGTTCGAATTATATTCAATGATTATGATTCACAAGAGGCAACTTTTCTAAAAAGCAAACGGTTTTGGCGAGAGTACCGTCAGCAGTACAGAACATGTCAATACATTTCACATGCAAATTATACATGGGCAAACAAAAATTAATAACATCATGATTGTGCTGAAAACTAAATAGCCGAACAGAAGAGTTTTATTTGCAACGATACAACTTGTAACTTGTGGTTTCTACTATCGGTGATTATCATTGACATCCAATCTCGAGACCGTTGATAACTTTGAATGATCAAAGGTGCAGATCCGGGTTCAGATTTGTTAAAATCCATCACGTTGATGTACATGCAGGTATACTTGCACGAGATTTTCAGCATCCTCTTTGCTCATGTACAAACACGTGACTCACATCTAAATCAACCCTGTCATATGCAAATAAAATAAAATGGACGTGCAGAAGGTTTGTCACTAGAAATCATGGGCGTAGGTCTGTAATTGATACCTATTGTTCAGGGGGGGGGGGGGGCTGATCTATTCATTCACCCCCTGAAAAATAGGTATTACGTAAGGATTGACGCCCATGCTAGAAATTATTTTTGATATGGGAGGGGGGGGGGGGAGGAAGGGGGTGGGATCCGATTAATATTTATCGACACATTGTTTGCCGACAGAAAAGCAGAATTTTCCAACAAGAATGGGATCATCAAACCAGAGAGGTATAAGGTTCATTTGCAGACGAATATAAACAGGTAATTATCAGATTTCAAACTGTCCCACCCGGCCGCTGACCTACGATTTCGTTATGAATTACGTGGTTATGAATACAGTCTCAGGAGGTAGGGGGAGGGGGTGTCGTTCAATGAACAAATGACGGGATGCTACCCCCTTTTCACAGGGACAATATCTGTCATACCCCACTCTGAGTGGGGGGGGGGGGGGAGACTATAGCCCGATAACAAAATATGAATATATCATTTTTCAGATGCCTTTTCGAGTCTTCTGGAGGCTGTAATTGCTGCCGGTCCGTATATACATTTATAAATTTCCCTTTGAAATGAATGTGTACTTTATGTTTTAGAGTGCATTTAGCCTTGTACCGGGGGAAGGGGGTGGAGGGGTACGTGCCCCCATGCCCCCTGGATCCGCCAATAAAACCAAAAGCACAAACGGACAGACGATACATGAACATAATTTTATGGGCCCGAATTCACAAAAGAGGTTTGTAGACAAACCTAGGTTTATGTGCGTCATAATTATGACGCGTTTCAGACTGACCAAGGTTTGTCTGAACCTTGGTCTGAAGCGCATAGAAACGCGTCATAATGACGCACACAAACCTAGGTTTGTCGACAAACCTCCTTTGTGAATTGGGGCCACAAAGTCTAACCATCCACGGCAGCCAACACGTTATGAAGAGGACGGTGACGAGAAGGGTCGTTTTCACAAACTTGACCTCCATCCCGGTGTACCCCTGAAGTCCCGGGTACATGACGGTGATCTGTAAAAAAAAATGACACAAAGAAAGGGGGAAACCCCCAATCATAATACGCCATTTTCGTAAAGTATCCAAAATGTATGCATATGCCTTTGTGAAGCGCCTGGATAACAATGATTTCATTCACCTATTACGAATAAATGTAGCTCAATAATAGTCAGAGTTTAAATTGAATACATTATTTGTTGCTATAGGTCGAAAAAACAGTATGGATTGTCCTAACTACGTTCTATATAATTATGTAATTTGCATTCTGACTATTGAAATACAATTATTCGTAATATGTGAATAAAGTAATTCGTATCGGGGCACTTTAAAGTATCTCTCTAAAAAAATCAAGTGATCACGGACGTCACTCCTCTGGAGAGTGAAAATGTAGTGAAAATAGAGTGAACATTCACTCTTTTCTTCTTAGAGAGCACTCTAAAATCAATCGATTGTCACTCCTAGTGATCACGGACGTCACTCCCAAGAAAGTGAAAATAGAGTGAAAATTCACTCTTTTTTTTAAGAGAGATGGGCTATCGTCCTAATTAACATTGAAGGTCGTAGTACAGTAATTTAAACACTTGGCTGGAAATGTGAAGGTCGTTAGTTCGAGACCCGGCGCGGCACCAGTGTTCTTTGGCAAGACAGTAATCTTTATTAATATAATTAATTTATGCCATGAATAATGTTTTCCTGTTCAGAGGCACCATTTGATTTTGCCTGAATAATAAAATTGAAAATTGAAAGGTTGGAATTTCAGGAGAAAGAAAGAAATAGGAATGATTTCTGTGAGGGGGGGGGGGGGGCGCTACACAGGAGGGGATAACGAAAGGAGGGTGTGGTAAAGTATATTTTTCGAATTTGGGGTGATAGCTTGTTTTCACCACCCAAATGTTATTAAATAAAATCCAAACAAAAAGGATTCTTCTCAAATTAATGATTTAAGCACACACCGGAGGGGTCCGAATTAAAAATGAGCTAAAAACAACCATGTGGTGGTAAAAAAGAGGGTTCATGCTCTTGAAACAACTTCCTCTGTTTAATACAGGCTTTGCATTAAATCTGAATGTAGGCCTACTTTCTCTTGCTACACACTCCCACATACAATTTCCAGTACATTAAAATTAATGTTTGAAATAATTACAATTTGATTTATTCCCCACACATTTTTAGATTTTTATCACTTTCACTGATGTTGATGCGGCGAATTGTCAAAACAGTCATCAATGACTGCAATTCAAGTTTTATCGTCTTTTTCAAGATTAGACAGGAAAAGAAATTGTTTGATGACGTCATAATTAGTTTGCTGATAAAGTGACGAAACAAATGATGGCGCTATTGCCTCCAAACATAATGCCAGGAATCGAATTGTTCAACTGACATTTTTCTTCTCAGTTTTGCACGTACAGTTTCATGAATGTTGACCAGGGCGAAGAAAAAACATCGAATAAGGAAGAGTTGTTTTTTTGGAGGGGGAAGGGGAGATACAGGGGTGGGGGGGGGGGGGGGGGAGAGAGAGAGAGAGAGAGAGAGAGAAGGGGGAAGGGAAAATTTAGTTTAGTTTTGTTTTTAAAAGACGATATGGAAGATTACCTTTCGTCGCATTTTGATGAGTTCTAGAACCACGCTCACGTTGCAGACCACCACCGTTAGCAACAAGCCCCACCCACTCATGACGTAGATGGCGAATTGTATGTTGCTCTGGAACGACTCACCGGGCTTCCAGAATAACTTGCACGTCAGCTTACCGTGGAAAGGTACCTGCAGACATTATATTTCAAGCAAATTTATAAGGTTATTTTATAGTCTGGTTGTCTGTAACGTCTATATTTTTAGACGGGATGACCCCACCCCTACCTCCACACACATAAACACACCCCTCACCCTCAACAAGAACTACAATAAACGAGATGAAAGTTCTAGAATAACTTGCACATCATCAATCAGTGAAAGGGGACTTAGAAGACAATTAATATATATTTCACCAAATAATAATAATAAATTATGATGTATTGACATAATTATTGTAGATGGGATAAATAAACAATTACGTGTTTTTTTCTCCATAATATACAACAAAATGCATAATTCCATATTCTTTTTGTTTAAAGAAGGAGATAGGAAAAGAAAAGAAATGAAATGAAACCTAAAAAAAATTTGAAACGAAATAAAAGCAATCAACAGAAAGGTAACATTTAAAATTTGTGGATATTTTTTTCTCCATATCTCGCCGGTAGGCCTCTCCCTCCACTCCAGTCCTGCTATCAAAAAGGAAGTTGACCCCGACGTGATTCGAACACGCAACCTTCTGTTCTGGAGACAGACGCGCTACCATTGCGCCACAGGGCCTTCGTGTTTATATACGCATGCAATTTAGCAAGAACAAAAATCCCAAACTTAAGAGATATTGCATCACTTTAACTCTTTTTATCCGTATTGAGTAGTGAGATGATGAAATGCATTGCAATTAATATACCCAAGTCACGGTTCTAGGACAATTACCCCTGGGCAACCACCTCGGGCCAATTACCAGCGGGACAATAGTCATTCTCCTTTGACAATATTACCCCCCGAATTTTGTGTAAACCAAATCATTATCAGGGTGGACTTCCCCTTTAATGGAGGTGGTTGTCCTGGTGGGGGGGGGGGGGGGGGGGGAGGAGAGGCGTATGTCCTATACGTTGGGGTAATTGTCCTGGGGGGAGGGGCGGGGGGAATTTGGGTTGTTGTCCTTGGGGAGTATTTTTCCAGGAGGTTAAAGTCCTTGGCGGGTGGGTGTCCTTGGTTGTCCTGGGGGGGGGGGGGGGGGGGGCGTAGTAGGCGTATTTGTCCTATATAATGGGTAATTGTCCTCGGAAATTAATCGTCCACAGGGGTAATATTCTGGGGGTAATTTTCTGGGTGGTGATTGGAAATAAAAGAAATCAACAGAAAAGTACAATTATAATGTTTGTGTGTATATTCTTCTTTTTATATCTTGCCATTTCTACCAGGCCTCTTCCTCTACTCCTGTCCTGCTATCAAAAGAGAAATTGACCCCGACGTGATTCGAACACGCAACCTTCTGTTCTGGAGACAGACGCGCTACCATTGCGCCACAGGGCCTTCGTGTTTATCAGGGAATTTAAACGCATACAATTTGGCAAAAACAAAAACCTCAAACTGTAGAAATATTGCATCACTTTTACTCTTTTAATCCGTTTACCATACACATATATGCCGCCGTACAAGTATAGTGAGATGATGCAATACATGGCAATTAATATACCTCGGTCACGGTTCTAGGGCAATAACCAGGGGCAATTACCAGCGGGACAATGATTACCCCCAAGGACAATTACCCCCCGGAAAATTACCTCCCGGAGAAGACCCCGAGGACGACCACCCCTCCCCCTCGAGGACAACCCCCGCCCCAGGACCCCCCCCCCCCCCGAGGACAATTACTCCCGATTTATTAATAAACCAAAAACCAAATCATTATCAGGGTGGACTTCCCATTAATGAACGGGGGGGGGGGGGGTTGTATTTGACCCGGGGGATGGTTGTCCTAGGTTGGCGGGGGGGGGGGGGGGCGTATTTGTCCTATACGGGTTGGGGTTATTTACCTCGGGGTAATTTTTTCCCGGGGGATAATTGTCTTCGGGGGCGGTTGTCCTTGGGTGGTAATTTTTCGTGAGGTAATTTTCCAGGGGGTTTTTGTCCGTGGAGGTTGTTTTACGTTTTTGTGCCACAGGGCCTTCGTGTTTATCAGGGAATCTATATGCATACAATTTAGCAAGAAAAAAAAATCCCCAAACTGTTGGAGATATTGCAACACAATATTTGTTGAAATATATCATATGATTGACATTTATCTTCCACTTCGATTCTGTTACAAAAAATGAAAAAATTGAATGCTGACCCCGACGTGATTCGAACACGCAACTTTATGATCTGGAGTCAGACGCGCTATACCGTTGCGCCACGGAGTCCTCATATGAGCTTTCCTTGTCAAATTTTTGACAATAATCCTCTTAAAACAATGAAGCACTAAAGCACGAGGCATAATTTAACTTTTAAAAGGATTTAAGACCAAAAAACACATTCGTCCTATCAGCTCAAACTATAAGGCGTTTTTTTAAAGACCCTAGTGCTCAGTCACCTGTGGCAGAAATATTATGAATAGAGTACCATTGGATAAAAAAACAAGTTGCTCTTTATCATGGAATAAATTCGAAAGTCATATTAGTTTTTACTTTTTAATGAGGAACTACCAAAGTTGGGTAGTTTTCTTTATATACGCATTGAATATATAGATATTGTGTGTTTTGCATTATCTTCCACTTGAATTCTAGTACAAAAAATAAAATTTGAATGCTGACCCCGACGTGATTCGAACACGCAACCTTCTGATCTGGAGTCAGACGTGCTACCATTGCGCCACGGAGTCCTTATATTCTACTGTTATCTACATCGAGATTTGGATAACGGCCCTCTTAATTTTAATACACTCAACCTAATCTTTATTTTGCATGATGTACTACCGCAGTCCTACCAAAATCCTCTTGTTCCAATTTTCGTCTGAAGCAATGAATGTGGGTCCAAAGCCATTACCATGTGTGTTATAAATCTCATTCCAAAAACGATTGCTCACCTCATCTACATTGACAATATTAAGCGGATGAAAAGAAAAGGTGATCATATCAACTCAAACTCAAGGGAATGCTTAATACAAGCAAATTTTATGGTAAATTATTCTCTTCGTTATGATGATTACAATCTTGACTTCATTCGTATTCATTGTTTAAGGCAACCCTAATTCTAAAGGAATGATATAAATGGATAAAGTTCATTCGAGATGTTGTATTTTGTATGAAGGTCTACTGTGATACTTATCATCATATGTATTTTTTCTTGCATTTGGGTTTAGTAACCTTTGAGTTTTCATTAGCTTTTCGAGATTATGTTCCTTACGCGTGTAAAATGGCGCAGCGGATATAAAGTGGGCAGGGAAAACGCAGATGACAAGAAGAAAGTAGGCTGATCGAAATAATTAAAAGTTATCCTATGGATCGAAACAAGGTTCTTAGAAAGCCTATAGAAACACTGCATGACTTTAAACAATGAAGCACTAAAGCACGAGGCATAATTTAACTTTTAAAAGCACGTGCATTATATACGGCCTGACACACATTCGTCCCATCAGCTCCAACTTGGTACAAGTAACTCTTTATCATGGATACAATTTTAAAGTCATATTCTTTTGGACTTTTTGATTAGGAACTACCAAAGTTGGATACACTTCTTTTTATACGCACTATATATTATATATTGTTTGTCTTGTATTTATCTTACACTTGAAGTCTGCTACAAAAAAAAATGAATGCTGACCCCGACGTGATTCGAACACGCAACCTTTTGATCTGGAGTCAGACGCGCTACCGTTGCGCCACGGAGTCTTCACATACTAGTGCTACTTCACGATTTGCATAATGGCCCACTTGATTTACACTCAACCTGCACTCTATTTTTTGCATGATGTAATACCGCAGTCACACCAACGCGACTGGCGCCAGACCGACAACAGCTGCACAATTCCCAGAACGGCCAAGCATCGCTCGCTCTTGCACCGGTGTGTATCGGTTAGGCGGTGTGACGGTGACGTTAACACACAAGATGATGAAATTATATTGCAATACAAACCTATGACGTAATATTAGACCGGTTTACTAACAAAGTCAAATATATGGATATTATTTTCCTGGGACCTAGTGACGTGGTATTCTAGTAACATTATTGAATAAGCTACAATACTTGGAATCCAGTCTACTTACGTAAATTGTTGCTACGTCGGGTAAGCTCCAGAAAAGCCTTCAGGTTGTGAAGAACAACCTTTTAAAAAGTGTGCATAATATTTTACTATGTTTGTAAACCAGCTGATACAGGCTATACATGAGGCATGTTCTTGACTACATCAAAGGTTAACGAGGTTTACCCGACATAGCAACACGTATTACACGCTGACTGGATTCCAAGTACTGCAGTTCATTCATTTACTAATAGCAGGTCATTGGAATAACTCGTCACGAGTCCCAAGGAAAGGAACATCCATACGTTTGAACATATTCGTATATCGGTCTACAACCTTGAAATAATAATGTGCTGACCAAAATGGCCGTCCTTTTCTGTTTTCCATTTAAAAAAAACTTTTAAAGATATTGTTTTGCGTCAAAATATGCGCATCCTATCCCCATAAAAAAGGCACCATATAATATTTATATATATTGAATAAGGCAGATTATATACCTCTCCTTAGAAATCTAGCTATGATCCAATTGGTCGAAATTGGAGTCGTGATTTTAGCCATTCCTGTTAAGAAACGAACAATGCCAGTAACGGTTAATAGTTCATGAATGAGATTCCCTAAAGATTCCGGGTACCGGGAAAATCATGAGTAAAATTTTGATGAGATCCCCATCGGTTTACGTGATAAAACTTACTTTGTGCGAGCGCGGATACCATACAGTGCTTTTTGTCTTCGATTCCCAAATGATTGTAATATTCAGTCATCTTTCCAGCGAAGATTAACAAACAGTGTCTCAGATTTTCTGTAATGTTTTTACTCAAGAAAAGAATAAGGTAAGAATTCTTGGTAGATTTTTGTGTCAATTCGGTACATAATATTCGAGGCCTGGCTGTTTCTATACTGGCTTTCGGAGATGTTGCATCACACAGGCGCGCCTCGGGGTCGTGACAGGATGCAACGTTACAGCCAAGCCTCTCATAGTAGTCGATATAGCTATACTAATGGAACATGGTTGCTACTCTGAGTTTCACACCTTACAAGCAATCAACAGGCTAATGATGCCATTCTTGAAAGTACGTGATTACTCTATTACCTTGGTACAAATACGCTCATTAGTCTGCCTTATTCAATATATTTTGTTTTGCTCTGCCTAGACATTGAGCACGGTACGCTAGGATAGAGCATCTAGAGCAAACCTAAGTATATAAGTATAGGCCTATATAATTATATAAGACATATAAATGTATATATGTTTCTCCTCTCCTCTGCTCACGTCATTTTTATCTCCCTTTCTCGCGCTTCTTCTTTCTGTGTCAATCTCACTGTTCTCTTCTTTCAAATATTTTTTTTCAAGTGACCCCCCCCCCTTAAAAGAAAATGCCCTATAGAATTACCTTCTCTTTTATCTTCCGGTCTATGGTAACCGTGGATATTCTAATGGATTCTCGCATAGGGTAGTCATTCACCGGAAAATGGTAATATTATGATTTATTTTGTGTATTTCCTTAGGATACAAATCATTGGACCACCTTCATTAATTTTAAGCCTGCATGGTCAAATCCTGCAATTATGAATACTAACGACGATGCTGCTGCTCTTTTTCGCTATCCCTTGATCTCTTTATCTCTCCATATCGCTCTCCGATCTCCCCACTTCTCTCGGCCTTATGACTTTATAAGTACGTCATCGTTAATACTTCATTTTGCAAACAATGATACTATAATGTAAACAGGATAATAAAAGGGGATTTCCGCATACGCATAATGACTTCGAACTGATATCGCCGCGGGGGGAAATAATGGGGGTATTTGAAATGTAGAGCAATACACGGTGTAATAACGTTTCCAAAGGAGTTTTATATAGTTAAGCTTATCCTCTTGAGACGTAGAATTATAATATCATGTTTACTTCCCTCATTGAAGGTGAGTTAGAAGGAAGTGTTTATTTTCTTCAATCTGTCATGCACAACGTGATTCAAAGTCACGTGTTGTGCTATGGCGACCATCATTTATGTAAACACACACACACACACACATAACCACATTCACGCACACGCGCGCACACCCACACGCACACATTCACAAAATATATATACATAATTATGTATATATATCTATATCTATAAAAGAAGATATTGTTCTGCGACGGAGGAGATTTAAAAAAAGACTCAACATAAAAAAAAAACTGTTCTCTAATATTTTGCGCCTATATACTTTGCAGTATCATAACCTGAAGAAGCCCTATAAAGACGAAATTTTGTTACGCTTTTCCTTTTTTGACGGAGTTTTAACTTATTCATTTTTTGTTGAGTCTCTCTCTCTCTATCTTTCTACAGTTAATTACTAAATTATTCATACCCAAACCAACTTTTGAAATATTTATGTATGTGACAAATTTATTTGTCCCGATCATTTCCCGATTTATGTTTCTTGAGAATGTGACATATCTAAGCTATACAAATATTTTCAACAAAGGCCCTAATTCAACCACTATTTACATTATGTCAAACGGATCCATCTCCTCGAATCCCTCGTACGTGACACAAGGACTCCGTGGCGCAACGGTAGCGCGTCTGACCCCAGATCAGAAGGTTGCGTGTTCGAATCACGTCGGGGTCATTTATTTTAGTTGGTCTTTTGCTTTTTTGTTTTAAAGAAAAGTCCACCTTTAATTCTTGACTTACGAAACGCATACACACACACACACACACACGCACACAACATCAAATATACAAGGGCAATTAATTATTTAGTTGTTAACTGTATATAAGGCCAAATAACAAAAAAATAACGTGTTTCTCGTCCGGTCTTTAAAAAAAAAGGAGAAGGCAGGGCATTACTATTTACTATTTTGCAATTTTTTTTCCAAGATGGCTGCCATGCTAATTATAGTTGCCCAAGCCTATTCATTCACATATATTGTGCTATGTGAGTATACTGATGCATTGTATGACAAAACAAATGATTTGCAACACTTTAGAAGCTATTTAAACAAAATGTTTATCATAGGCTTTTTTTTTTTTTTGCTTTTTTTTTTTTTTTTTTTGGGGGGGGGGGGGGGGCTTTTTTTTCTTCTGAATAGTAAATAGTAAAAAAAAAAAAGGAGCCGGCGGCCTAAAAGGAGGCGGGCGGAGACGAGAAACACTTCATTTTATCGCAATGTATTTCAACACTCTGCCATGTCTATGACAAATTGCAAAGGAGTGATATCCTATTATTTCAAAAGGCCAGACCCATCCATCGCCTCGATTCAATTCGGATATCATGTAGACTCCGTGGCGCAACGGTAGCGCGTCTGACTCCAGATCAGAAGGTTGCGTGTTCGAATCACGTCGGGGTCATTATTTATTTCAATTTTTGTTTTGTTTAACAGAAGATCTCATAATAACGTAAATGGGCTAGTACATGCAGACTTAGTTCCCCCCCCCCCCCCTCTGAAATTCCTGGATCCGCGCCTGGAAGAGGATTCGAACATGATTGTCAAGCACAGTGGAACGAGGGTTCGTAATGATTGAGGAAGGCTACTAGGCCTACACATCAGACTTAGGAGCTTCTCCGATTTTCTATCTATCCTTAAGCTATGGTCACAAATCAGAGCAGCGACCGACCGATCAGTATAGCCTCCTCGGTCGCTGCTGGAATTTAGGCATCGCCCAGCGATTAGGTCGGTGCCCGGGCGGCGACCGCCCAGGCACCGAGCGTATTTTGGGCGGCGAGTGAAAAATGAGCAGGCGCCGCCCAAATTTTAACTCCGAGCTAAAACTTCAGCGGCGACCGAGCGATGCCCTAAAAACGAGCGGTGCCTGGGTGGCCGCCGCTCGGTGGCCGGGCAGCCGCCGGGCAGAATTGATTAAAAACTCGCCGCTCGGCCGCCGAGCAGGCTACTTTTGGGTAATGTGACCATAGCATTAGGTGTTTATTTTGTTCTTTCATTAAAAAAATAATATCTATCTTATTAATGAGGCGCGATGGCTCAGCGGTAGAGCAGTGGTCTCGTTTACGGGAAGTCCCGGATTCGAAACCAAGTCGATGCGCTAGTAACTGTTTTCTTAGAAAAGGCATTAATCCTCATTCATTACCAAGTCCCTCGGAGAGGACTTAAAGCCGTCCGTCCCGTGGTTGCATGCTTACTTACAAGCAGTCAGATAAACAAACAAACAAACAAACATTAAATATTATTATTATAATAAACATGATATACTTTTTTTAAAAAAGAGAAGAATTTTGTATACCCTTTGATAGGATCCAACGCCGAAAAACGGGAGCGCCCCAATGAGAGCTGCGGCACAGACCAAGAAAAGAACGGCCCCCGTGGTTCGGTACTTGGTAAACCTCCGGTGGTACCTATACGGCCTAACCAGCGCCGTGTAACGCTCTACGGACATGAGCATGACGACGAAACCGGAGGCGAAGGGGAAGAAGTTCGTGATGAACCCGAAGATGTTGCAGTAGACTTGCGGCTTTTCGTCGCGAAGGAGAGGTTTGAGGCCAGAGCGGCCGATGTACGACAAGATAGCCAGGCAGTCCGTCCAGGCGAGCGTGGTGATGAGCATGACAGGCGTAGTCCGTCGTCGGTTGCATCCGGCCTTCGTGTACACGACCAGGGCCATGGAATTGAAGAGCAAGCCGACAGCGACGATGACGTAGGTTTGGACCTTGCCCGCGTTGTCCTTGGTCAAGATGGCTGGGCTCTGCGTCGATGACACGTGCATTGTCATCGATGCCGAGTTGGAATCTTGGAGGTCGTGGAGACCATTGACGTCCGATGGTCCCTCATCATACGATGTCGTTAATATGTCACTGATAGACGTGGAAAACACCGATGCGGTGTCTGTGTACGTAGTCGTCATGGCCTCTCTATGATACTCCTAGATGTCTTTTCTCGTTCAATCCTAATAAAAGAAAGGATAATGAACAGAATGATCGATGTTGGCATTTTGAGAACTTTGTTATAGTGGCGACGGTGATAGTTTTGACATTTAGCTTGCCATCAAAAATATTTCTATTGAGTGGGAAATATGAATATTTTTTCATGTCTCATAGAAAGGTGACCATCATTTTCAATAACCAAAATGTCTCTGCATCTCTTTTCTTCTCTTCTCCTTCTTCTCCCTCCCCCTCTCTCTCTCTTCCTCTCTGTCTCTCTGCTTCTAGTGCCGTCTTTTCCGCTTATTTCTCTTTGTCTTCTTCATTTTCATATATACATAAGTATAACAAGCTCATACAATCGTCTGAAAACTCTTTCCACTTGTTATTGAGTGTTCTATATTAATCTTGAAATCATTTTTTTTCTTTCGTTTCGTTGTGTTTTCATTTTTGAAATTATATTTTGAGACTAAAGTGCATAAAAGAACAAAGGATAGACGGATTTTAAAATTTAAAATGGCGAGTCACCGTTCAAGGATTCTCGCAAAAGAATGAGAGAGAGAGAGAGAGAGAGAGAGAGAGAGGGGGGGGGGGAGAGATAAGGAAAGAAGAAGAAGACTTTGTTAGAATACGTTCATCATACAAGTAATATACGAATCAAAATCATTATCAAAACTTGAAGATAGAAATATTGTTATGCCGAAGGGAATTACAACATTACATTGCTGTACAATTATTAATATATTTGATTTGATTTAACAGCATGTGAAAATAATGAACATTCGCCTTGTGAAGCAAAACTCGATTACTTTGTTGTGAACACTGCAAATGATTAGGGGGTCATGGCAGGATATGTGCACGTTCCCGAGAGCCTAAACAGGCCTATCAAGGCAGTCGATATCTCTATATCTATTGAGTAACTGACTTACATCTTTTGTTTATTTGGTAATAAATACACAAAGTGAGCTGTAACAGGTACAATTCATGAGCATTGTCTACATCAATAACCCACTAGTTATGGTCAAAATTAAACTGATTGAATCTTTGTGCAGCACAAAACGTACAACCATTCGGTCTGGAAATCAGATTATTACTTAGGTGTAACCACTTAAGTCCATTCGACAACCAATATTCGTTATTTTCCCACTAAAATCCATTTCAAGCCTCTTCGATTTGAGGGAAGTTCTAAATTATGATTGTCTTTCAAATGCCGTTTGAATTATCCTTTTGTTTGTCCTGCAAACGGGACATAGTACGTTTAACGCACAAAATTGCTAATCAACAAAGTAGATTAAACTCCTTTTGGAATGAATCAATTTTTGATTTATCGCCTTTGGGAATGAAACGAAAATTTGTAATAATTTTTTTCTATCTTTTGAAAAATATGGGGTTAGCGCCTTTTAGTATTAAAGATAAACTTTAGTACTGGTAATGCGATTGCATTGTGAAAGAAAAGGTGTGGAAAGGATCAGAAACAGTTGATCATGTAGCATGTAAGTATTGGTGTGCACTGCAAGGTTCTGGAGTCATCAAAATCATAATAAATTTGACCGAGTTTTGGTAAAGTAACAAGCACTCACATAGAAAGCTATATATGGGACAACACACATGGTGTCGGGGCGCGTTATTTTTTTATGCGGCACAGATTGGGGCATGGCGCGTGTTAAACCTATGGGAAGTACGTTCTTTCCCTTCTGAATAGTGTCTGCACGTACGTGAGACTAGTCATGTTAGCTAGCGCATTAGCGCTGCGAAGAAGTTTGTATATTCATCGCGAACTATGTGTTTAGATAACATTCCTCTTCGTTTAAGTTAGTTAAGTTTTATTGACTAATTATTGTGATGTTCTCCTTATTGACGTGCTGCCTCCACTTCAGATTTCCAATTTGATTGTAATTGTTGATGTAATGATTTTCCATGCGGTAGTGGATTAAATGTAACACTATTAAAAACAGACCTCTACTACTTATACTGTGTAGTACGCACACGACCAGTATTAGTCTGTAAATCAAGACCCCTTTTTAAAAAAAGCCCCAATCTGTGCCGCATAAAAAAATAACGCTGTCGGGGCTAGTACTACCTTGATTTCCTTGTCTTTCTATGCTCATTACTCAGCCAGTATACATTTTCTTCCAAAATTGTTTGGCACATGTCATTTATTTGTAATCTTGAACATTCAGTGTAAGTTTCGTTTGATTCAGTGAGAATTTTATTTTTTTTTTTTTTTACCAGTACTGGGGAGTGTTTCACAAAGATCCTAAGTAGAACTTAACACTAAGTTGGACTTAAAAAGTATGGACAGCCATTGGAGCCTTAAAATGAAATATATTCAAAAGCAAAAATTGGAGTATTTTTTACTTTTCATCAATTCCACATCCAGAACATGAAATCTCCCATGATAATAGAAAATATGAATGATTTGAATCAACATTTTATGCCTTCTACAAAGAAATTTACAAAATATTTTCAAGGATGCTAATGGCTTCCCATAATATTTAAGTCCAACTTAGAGTTAAGTTCGACCTAGAATCTTTGTGAAACACCCCCCTGGAGTTTATCTTTAAGCACATAAAATGATGTAATCATCGGCATAGCGAATGTCCGGCCGTGAAAGAGCACTATCGCTCTAGGGTACAAGGATGACATGTCAGCGAACAGGGTAATCGAAGGATGGGAGAATAATAATCTTCTTTTCACGATGAACAAATTCTTTATTTAAATTTCTCTCTCTTCCCTTTTTTTGCCGTAATATGTTCAGATACCGCTCCGTAAAAACCGCCGCATAAAAGCGGCTGCAAACTGCGCACACCAAAGGATTTACGCGTATTCACTGAGCCCTGTGTTATAAATGTCAAGCGTATTTAATATACCTTATAAATTATGTCATCTAGAAAAAAAACTTCCCGTTATTTCAAATTGGGTAGTCTATCGTCCCATAATGAACCTAATTATCCCTGTTAAATTATGTAGTTGTATCGTATACTTCCGTTGTTCCGAATTATCCCTGTTTATTATGTAGTCGAATCATTTACCTCGGTTGTTTCGTAAGAGCAAGGCTGAGTTTTTCCTTTACAATAAACGTTATTCTTGCCGTGTATATCCTCGATAACATTGTAGCAGGCGTGAATAACACCACCTAACCACGCTGCTGATTCGAAAGCGGATTCATAATCAAATAATTATTCGTCGTCCTTGAAAATCTTCCTTCTCGCCGCCTTCTCGGAAAGGTCTAAAATATGTAAATTATAAGATGGAAAAGTGCGATAAATCATGCATACCGCTCTCGGTATATACTAAATGGAGGGAGAGAGAGAGAAAGAGAGAGAAGGGGGATACAGCCAAGTACCTAGTAAAACGGAGTAATGAAGCATTGACTCGCCGGGGGGGGGGGGGGGCATCTTCGGTCTTTCCTGGTTTTCGCCCTTATATAATATTATAGAACACGTTGATGTATATTTGTTGACAGGGATTAATTACTTCATATTAAATACCGTTCCCCATTGAAAATTCAAATTTCGAAGTTACCTTAAAAAAATTAGTATTCATTAATGAATGGGAAAGATTTACATCATACTTTTATAGCAATGAAGCATCGACACATAGATGGAATCGAATCAATTGCATCAGCGTATCCACACTTTTTGTTAGGAGTATCGTATAATCGAGTTCTTTCAATATTTTGACTTGATTTGTAAAGTTGTGGGTTCGATCCCTGGAATAGCCTACACCAACTCTGCCCTATGCCTGATTGTGCATGATTATAAGTTGATAACTGAGAATATTTCACACAACACATCTCCGGGCAGCGAAATATTGTTTCAAGTTTTCAAGATTGTACAATATATTGTACAATCTTGAAAACTTGATACGCCCGAGATAAGTTGTCCTTAACTTTATATACGAACCCAACATGTTTTACTATCAAAAAAATAAAAATGTAACATTCCTCTGCAGACTTCCTTTATCGTATAAAAAATACATACATGGAAATATACATACAAGACTAGTGAAGTTATTTGTCATAACATTATCTCTGCAAAAAAAGCATCCCATTCAGAAAGAAAAAAAGAAAGAAGATAAAATCAATTCTGGTAAACTGGTGAGAAGAAGAATAATAAAAAAAGATAAAATACTTGCTTTTGAAGCATGTTATCCCGTGTTGCAGTTCCAGTGACGCAGCTCTGGACTGGAGAGAGCGGGAAGCTTACGAGTCAAGGGGCGAAGTCTGCAGTAATAGTTTTAGGGAGATGTTTTCCAGTGAAATCCAAAGCTATTTTAGGTCCTGCATATATTGCCTATATCAGATACCTTGTAAAATAATAAGGTGTGTGATTTGCCAGATAATGGAGCATGGATGCGTGTGCTGCAAAGCTATTTTAGGTCCTGCATATTGCCTATATCAGATACCTTGTAAAATAATAAGGTGTGTGATTTGCCAGATAATAGAGCATGGATGCGTGTGCTGCGATCGAGAGCACTCAAGATCGTTATCGTTCGGTTTAAAAAAGATTAGAAAAAAAAGAAAGAGGAGTGATGGGATGCATAATATCTGGGGGAAAGGTCACTGGCGGGCGTAGCTATAGTCGTGTGGCGTGCCGGGGCGCATGCCCCCAATCGGCTTAGGATACTTTGAAACAGAGAGTTTATTTGTTTATTTGTTTTATTTTAATACGGTGATAAAAACCCTGCTTTCAGCCGCAAGGCTGTTTTTCAGCAAGTCAGTATTAACAAGAAGACAACATTACCAGCAAATAACATCCATATTAATTGCAAGTTATCTACATAAAATAAATATAAATTACAAATAGGGCATTGACGAAAGTCTTCAATGCAAAAATGAATACACGTTGTATTAAAAAACGTAGATAGTAGAGATAGGAGGGAAAATCGAAGAAGAATATAAAAAGGATTACCGACAAGAGTCTAGGAGATAGCGAGAGAGAGAGAGAGAGAGAGAGAGGTGAAGAGGGAAGGAAAGGAACGT